TCCCTCTAAAGGACTTGTTCCCTAGATTTCCCCTTACGTTCCTATGTTGCATTGAAAGCCCACCTCCCGGATGGCGCTGGTGAAATCCGGCTGGTAACAGGTGTCGAACAAATTAAGCGGCAATCACAAACTGTAAACGAAGTCCCAGTATTCAAGGCTTACATGGCAAACTCCTTGTCCATCCAGCTACTTCAGCGAAGATAATGTACAAAGTTGCGAAGTTGTGTGGTCTTGCCGCTACCACTATTGCCCGTCAGCACAATGCATTGATTATGACCCGTCATTTGGAGATTCCTGAAAAGGCATGCCTTTGATCGGAAAATCTACATACAGGATTGAAGAAGCAAGTTGTAGAATACATCGATTTAGTAATACTTACCTATATACCTGTTGCGCAGTAGCATAAATATGGGCGGGCATTTGTCCACGACGACATCCTTTGAATAGCGAAACAAGACGATCTTGACCAACTGCACCTTCTTCAACTGACGTGAGGCAAACAAGACTAATAAGGCCAGCATTCGTGTACGACAGGTTGCATCCAAATCTACAATCACAGAATAAACTTATGGACTCGAAATCGATTCGAAAATAATAGAAAGTGGCACTCACCGCTGCCGCAGTAGGTGTACAGCACTCGTCTCATTCAGATAACAAAGCGCTGCTACATCGCCTACTCGATCAAGATGAGTTGGATTCATTCTGTCGATATCGGTGGAATCAACAGTCATCTCACGACCAGCTACTCGGATGAGAGGCTCGGCCATCAGGGAGAAGCTCGAGGAGCCGTACAACCGTATAACCGCCTTTGTGAACAAGCCAGTATCGCTGCTCCTCAGGGATGTCCTGCAACGATTACAACAGCTAAACTCAGCGTTTCAGGTTTCAGGCGGGTTTCTTTGGGTTACGAGTTCGCGCTCGAAGCTCAGTTAACACTTTACACTCTTAGCTTCATCTATGGCAAGGAACTAATCTTTGCTCAATTCTTCCAACAAAATTGCGCTGAATTCGTCCGAAGGATGGAAAAAAAAACTAGCTACTATTAGATTACCGCCAGAAAGCTGAGCTAGGGGCAGAAGTCAGACCCCGGGTGGGACTTGGACCCGCATTTTCCGCTGAACGAGCGAGTAACATGTAAGACTACTTGAGCCTCGCGGTCCATGCAGATATCGGCCAACCTCCTCGTCAAGTCAAAGGTGCGAGTGCTGCAAGGCTGCAGCAAAACGCCATAGGGGTAAGCAGCCCCGATGGGTTAATGGATAGCGTACTTGCCTAGTCAGCAGGCGATGCGGGTTCGAGCCCATTAGTTCAAGTAGGGGTTTT